GCCAGCAGTGTCACGTAGGCTAGGCACTGCTCACCAGTCCCACTTGAGAGGGGGATATATGACTGAAGTCACTACAGTGCCCTGTTCCGGCCAAGTCTGCCCGGTCCCAGAATGTCCTCTGTTGGAGCCTCCTAGATTGTGGAAGAGTCCCAGTTTCTCTCACTCACCGCAGGTCGATGAATGGCTCCCCACCCGTCCTGCTCTCAACTCCGTTCACCGATTCCCGTTCTCAGAGCTTTTGCACATCTGTCTCCCTGCCAAGCTGATTCAGACGCAGCTTCGGTGGCAGGAAACCCAAATTGCAGTTTCCAATGGCGCGGGCTCCAGCTTCCACACTGAGGCTTTATCTGTTCTTGTTATAGCACCAGGATTGCATTCCCAGTTGGTTTCTCTCAGCCCAGTTCGTTCTTGGGTCAGCAGGGCATATCTCCTCTCTGGTTTAGGATTCTTCACTCTGCACCATTCCTGGATTCTAAGCTGGGTCTTTCAGAGAGCCTCCGTAGCTGCTGCTATCTGTCCGCCATGTTCCCCGGAAGTCCCATAGTTATTTTTAATAATCCAGTTTTTGGAGGTTTCATTCCACATTCAGTTGGCTCCAAGACAGGCAGGCATAGCTGGACCACAGTTCATGGTGGCTGCAAACAGCAAAACAGGAACCAGCAAAGAGCAAGACACACCTTCTTCCTGCCATTACTCCAGTTTTAATTCTTGGCATGTGTAGAGCCAGTTTTTCCAGAACCATTTTATTTATTTATTTTGTCTTTTTCCTTTTTACCGGTACTAAGGATCAAACTCACGAGTGCCTGCTTGCAAGGCAGGCACTTATGCCGCTGAGCTAGATCCCCAGCCCCTCAGAACCATTTATTAAAGGGACTATCTTTCTTCCAGCAAATATGTTTGGCACACTTGTCAAAGATAGGGTGGTTTAGTGTGTCTGCAGCCATTATTCTTCGGGTCTGTTGTTTTTTGTTATTTTTGTTTGTTTGTTTGGCTTTTTCCTTGCCAGTACCAAACTGTAATGTTTTTGTTTTTGTTTTGGTATTTTTAAAGACAGGGTCTTGCTATTCAGTTCAGGTTGACCTTGAGCTCACTTTGTAGCATGGGTTGGTCTTGAACTTGAAATGATTTGCCAGCTCGAGCCTTACAAGTGCTGGTGATGACTTTTTTTTTTTGGACCAGGGATTGAATTTACAACCTCATGCTTGTCAGGCAGGCACTTACACGGCTGAGCTAAACCCGGCAGCTGGAAGTGCTAGAATTATAAGCATGCACCACCTTGCCTGCCTTGTTTTTTTTTTTTTTTTAGATCATAGTAGCTTTGTAGTATAACTTGAAATCAGTGATTGTGATGCCTCCTGTCTTGTCTTTGTTACCCAGGATGGCTTTTTGCTATTATAGTCTCTTCTAGTTCCAGACGAATTTTAGAATTATTTTCTCTTATTCTGTAATATATGCTATTGGAAGTTTGACTGGGATTGCACTGAATCTATATAACAGTTTTGGAACTATGGCCATTTTCACTATATTGGTTCTTCATAACTAGGAGCACAGAATAATTGCTACATTTTCTAATACCCTCCTCAATCTCCATTTTCAGAGTACCATACTTTTCAATGTAGGGATCTTTTACATCCTTTGTTAGATTGATTCCTAGGTTTTTCATTTTTTTGTTTGGATGCTATTGTGAACTGTTGTTTCCCTGACTTCTCTGTCAGTGAGTTTATTATTCATGTACAGGAAGGCTATTGATTTTTGACTGTTGACTTTGTATCCAGCTACATTAGTCAGTTTGTTTATTAAATCTAAGTAGTCTTTTGGTGGAGTTTTTGGGGTCTTCTATGTAGAATATCATGTTATCTGCAAATAATGATCGTTTAACTTCTTTCTTTCCTATCTTTATTTCTTTTATTTCTTTCTCTTGTCTAATTCCTCCTGCTAAAGTTTTTAGGACTATGTTGAATAAGAGTGGAGACAGTGGACATTCTTGTCTTGTTCCTAGTTTTAGAGAGATAGTTTTCAGTTTTTGTCCACTTAGTATGATGTTGGCTGCTGGCTTGCTGTAGATGGCTTTTATCAGATTGAGATAAAGACTATTATTCCAATTTTCTGTGTTTTTTTAAATCATGAATGAGTATTGGACTTTGTCAAAGGCTTTTTATGCATCTGTTGAGATGATCATATGATTTTTGTCCTTGGTTCTGTTAATATGGTATATTATATTTATGGATTTACATATGTTGAACCATTCCTGCATCCCTGAAAAGAATTCCATTTGATCATGGTGTATAATTTTCTTGATGATTTGCTGTATTCTTTTTGCCAGCATTTTTTTTTTTGTACGAAGAATCTAACTCATGACCTTTAACTTATGCATGTGCACTGGCTAAATCCCCAGTCCCTCAATTCTGTTTTTTTCTTTTTGGTACTGGGAACTAAACTCACAATTTTGCACATGCCAGGCAGGCACTGTGCCCCTGAGCCATATCCTCAGCCCTATTTGCCAGTATCTTATTGAGGATTTTTGCATCTATATTCATTAGGGAAATTGACCTGTAATTCTCTTAGTTGGGTCCCTCTCTGGTTTTGGTATCAGGATAATGTTTACTTCCTGAAATGAATTTGGGAATATTGCTTCCCTTTCAATATTATTAAAGAGTTTGAGAAATAGTGGTGTGTCTTACTTTTTACTTATTGCTGGGACAAAATACCTGACAGCCAAAATGAAGGAAGGAGAGGTTTATTTCTTACAGTTCTTGGAAGTTTCAGTCCATACGCAATTGGCTCCAAGGCAAGGTGACATGGCCAGGCTGTCATTCATGGCCACTGCAAACAGCAAGACTGGAACCAGCAAGAGAAACACACCTTCTTCCTGCCATTACATTGTATGCTTGCTCCACCCCTAGTGGGTGTAGCACTCACACCACCAATCTGAGTGCTAGACAATGAACCAATCACAAATGCTAGATTTTGTAAGTCCATAATTCATGAAGCTTGGGGGCTACTGACATAAGCCATGACATGGTATTAGGTCTTCTCTAAATTTCTTGTACAATTCAGTTGTGAATCCATCAGAGCCTGGGATTTTTTAAAATAGGTTTTTAATTGCATCTTCAATTTCACTGATTAATATTGGGTTATTTAGGATTTTTATATCTTCTTGATTCAGCTTTGGTAATTCATATGTATCTAGGAATCTGTCCTTATCTTCTGTGTTTTCCATTTTATTAGAGTACAAGTTTTCAAAGTAGGTATAGATGGTTTTCTGAACTTTTTCTGGGTCTGTTAGGATTTCATCCTTTTCGTTCCTAATTTTGGGCTGGGGGTTTAGCTCAGTGGTGTAAGTACCTGCTTGGCAAATGCAAAGTTGTGAGTTCAATCCCTAGTACTGAAAAAAAAAAAAGATAATAATATTCATTCCTAATTTCATGGATTTGAGTCTTTTCTTTTTTTTTGATAAGGTTGGATAAGGGTTTGTCAATTTTATTTAATATTTCAAAGAACCAACTCTTCAATTCATTGATTCTTTGAATTTTTTTTTAGTCTCCAGTGCATTAATTTCGGCTCTGACCTTTGTAATTTCCTCCTTATTAGCTTTTGGCTTAGGCTGCCCCTCTGTTTCTAGAAGTTTGAGATTCACCATTAAGTTGTTTATATTCACTTGATCTGTTTTCCTGATATGGATTTTTTTTTTTGTACCAGGGATCCAACTCAGGATCTCATGCTTGCTAGGCATGTGCTTATGCCGCTGAGCTAAGTTCCCGGCCTCCGGATATTTACTGCTATAATTTTCCTCTTAAGACTGTTTTGTGTTCTGTAAGTTCCAGCATGTTGTATTATTATCATTCAACTGTAAAAATTGTCCGATTTCTTCTTTAATTTGATCTGTGATCCACTGGTTGTTCAGCAGGGTGCTGTTTAATTTCCCATGTGTTTATGGAGTTCTTGCAATTTCTTTTGCTATGGATTTCCAAAATACAAAACAAAACAAACAAAAATAGATAAATACACATTAATCACTTTGGGCATAGGACCAAAATCTCCTTAACCCACCCCTTCCAGCAAAGTCCTTATTTGTCCCATGTGCATTTGCTAGCTGACTTGTTTTCTTTTATCCCCATTTAATCAAAATTACCTAAGTGACTATACTTTGAATCTTATTGGTTGACCATAGTTTTGTCCCACTTCATACCCATTATGTGATTTTTCCATTGGATCATTATTACCTAAGTGATTACACTTGTAATTTTATTAGTTAAATATAGGGGTTTTTTTTGTTTGTTTGTTTTGTTTTTTTGTCTTTTTCCTTAGGGTTAGGGTTAGGGTTAGGGTTAGGGTCCCTGACAGTGGGATGGAAGGGTAGATTGTTTCCAACCCGGATCCCTTGAGGAAGGTGAGAGCTGACTGCGCCAGAGGCCAGTGGCCATCACAGATCCTGGGTATTTGATCATTAACGCTATGTGTGAGTCTAGTTTGTAAGTCTCCCAGGAGCCAGCACCTCTTGAGAACAGGAGTCACGCGGGGCCTTAAGGGGGTCTAAATCGGGAAGGCTCGCTGATTCCGCAGGGTGCGCGGATTCCGCAGTTTCGCACAGTGTGCGAGCGAAGCGAAGAGAGCGAAGCCAAACCAATCACCCCCGGGAGGCTTCAGAATCCACAGCCCGGGCTTTAGGGCCAGGCCACGCCCACTACCGACAGGTGACGCCCACAGCCGGCCGACCACGCCCACTTGCACTCAGCCTTCCTTGGCCTGGATCCCACGGTACACCCGAGCTGCAGGCACAGCCACTTCATCTAGGGGTTCAGGGTCTCTAAGGTCTAGCTCCTTCATTTTCGCCCCAATTTGGGAGGCGCGGCTGAGAACCATTGAGAAGGCCGGGCCTCCGAGCGGACCAGAACGGCCGGAAGTCTGCGGGGCCGGACGGGCGTCCAAGGCCCGTTTCCGGCGGCGTCGTGCAGTGCGGACCTCCGGCGGGCCTCAGGCTGGCCACGGGGAGGGTGAGTCTGCTCGGTAGGCTCGGTCTTGTGCTCCCCGCCTTCAACGGAGTGGCCAGTGGCCTCTACCTCGGGGATCACAGATGCCGCGGAGGCTTTGAGCCGCTGTGAGCGCCAGACGGCGTACCTGGTCCGGCAGCGGCTGCCCCGGCCAGCATCGGTGGATGGGAATGGTTGAGCCTTGACGCTCCTCCGCTCGCGGGCTCAGGCCTCGGGCCTGAGCAAGGCGAGCTTTAACTGCGGCCTTTCCAGGCCTGACCTACACAGGGGTTCCCATTTATTCCCCCGTATAATCACTTTCTAGGCCTATCTTTTCTTTTCACTTTCTTCCCCTGGAAGGCCTAGAATCGGTAACAGTTGCAAAAACAGCGGTGCCTGCAACACCGGTTGCAGCCAGCGGTTAGGATAGGTGGTTGGTGTTTTGAATTCTGGCGGCTTCCCGGGCCTGCCTTTCTCTGCAGCGGCCTGAAGGTCCAACCCTGGCAGCTGCATTCCTGCTGCTCAGGCGCAGGATGCGATCTTTCTTCAGAGGTCACTGGTGCTCGGACCATTCTCCCTATGTAAGGAGTCGCAAGGGTCGCGGTTTGTGTCACAAACTTACCAAGGAAGTTGGTTGCTCTCCTTCAGACCTCCCAGGGGGATGCCTAAAAAAGGATCTGAGGTCACTGGTTCAGTTAAGGTGGACTGTCTTCTTCAGACTGCAGCCATTGGCTGATCTCATCCTGGTGCAGGCCAGTTGTAGCTGGATGTATTTAGTACTTGAGAGTAGAGTTCCTGTATCAGGTCAGACACTGGCTTTTGCAGCCTGAGGTTCTGTCTCTCAGCTTCAGTCATACCCTCCTCTTGTTGCCTGTGATCCATACACACTGGTTCACTTAGCTCACTTAGCTTTTGTCTTCTCAGACCTCAAACTCGCTTCTTCTACCTGCGGTACTCCTCCCTACCAGTGTCACCTCGGCATAGGTCCTTAGGGAAGAGACTTTAAAAAAATCAGTTATCTAGTTTAAATGCTTCTTAGCTCTTTTCAGTGCTGTCATTGTGTTCGGTGGTATTTGAGTTTTCCCTCTACTAGACTGCTGCATAAAGGATGGAGCCTTCATTGTTAACTTTCCACTGCCTAGTTGAATGCATGGCACATGAGTGCTCCTCCCCACCCTGATGTGTTTCTGAAGTGATTTATTCATCACACATACAGACTGAAGGATGAACAAGGCTTTAAGGGGCAGATACTCGAGTACCAGGACTGCTTCACCCAACTGCCCTGTCACTGAAAAATAGTATGTCTAGGGTGGGAGTAGGAAATGCTGTGCCCCTTTAATTATTCTAAAAGATAGGCAGCATCCAGCACCCTGACCTCTGACCTGTTTCATAATTTCCAACAGGTATCTCAGCCAGGACAAGTGGAGGCCTTCCTGTGCAACTCATGGTAGGGAGCCTGCCTGCTTCCATTCCTTCCTGTGTCCCATGAAGCTGAAACCTTGGATATCTGACCTTTGCCCAGTCTTTGTGTTGACCCTCATTGTGACCTATGCCAGGTTCAGGAAGGCCTCTTTGTTTCCATCCCCTTAGCAGTGAGCACCCTCTGCCTAGACCAGGGCCAATCTGAGGCTCCTGGGGGGTATTAAGAGCACTGTGCACTGGATCCCTTCTTCCTCAAGCAGTTCCCTTTTCCTAAGACTCTAGAGCCTTAGGTGCTAGATAACTTGTTCACAAACCGCAAGGCGTACCTGTCTGAGAAATACCATGATGTGCACCAAAATGGGGCTGTCACCCAGGGATCCCTGGGGGACTGGTGTATGTCCTTTCAGGAGGCGGTGACATTTGGTGATGTGGCTGTGCATTTTTCCCGGGAGGAGTGGCAGTGCCTGGACTCTGGCCAGAGGGCCCTCTACAGGGAGGTGATGCTGGAGAACCACAGCAGTGTTGCCGGACTAGGTGAGGCCGCACCTGGGATCCCTGTCCTCTGGGCCATCTGTTAGTACACAACATACCAGGCCTCCTTCAGAGGCTGGGGACATTGATACTGAGTGCTCAGCCCCTGGTGGGCTAAAAACAGCCGAGAGGCTGTTTAGTGAGTCAGGCTTGCTGCAGGCTTTGTGCATGTGTAGTGACTCAGTTCACACTGGCTAGGTGGAATTCTAGAAGCTAATAAATCCTCCTTTTTTCCTAAATTTAATGCTTGAGAAATAAATGCAAATTAGAAATACCTCAGACAGAAAAATTGGCTCAAGGAATCCATGGAAGTTGTTATAAACTGAGAGCAGAGGTGGTACCAGTGCCCTGGAGATGTTTTACGATGCCATGAAGCATCCTTTTCTTCCTTCTGTCCTGTTCAGTTTCCTCTTACAACCCCATCACCATGTGCAGCATACTTCGTGTCCATCTTTGTGTTCATGTCCTTGAAACATGGTCCCCTTGTTGGGTTTCCATATTGTCAAGGTATTGTGGATCCAACTTGCTCCTTGTTGTGCCTCTCAGTTATTACCAAACCCTGTATTGTATTGGATACAAGTCCTTTAAAGCCCCACAACATAACATTCTAGTCCCATGAGAGAGTGCCTGGGTGACTGGAGGAGTAGTGGGGTGGGTAGAAGTATAGCTTGTTGACTAGATGCTTCTTAGAGTGCTGGACCAAGCCTACACTCTTCATCCCAGCAAGTCTGGCACTCTAGCTTTCTGATTTTATGTGTGTGTGTTCTGGAAATCCAACGCAGGACCTCCCACTTCAAAGCAGGTGCTGCCCCACTGAACTATATCCCTGGCCCTAAGCTTTCTGATGGTTTGCCTGAGCAGCTGTGTCTTCAGAATCATCTAAATAATCTCCTTTTGAATCTAAGGCCTTCATACTGAGCTACTTCCCCAGCTGTGTATTATTATTTTTAATTTTAATTTTTATTGGTATATGTTTGTGGCACATAACATTTACTTTCTTTATGGGGAGTTGGAACATGTATATAACACATTTTAAATCTTGTGTTTATTCCCTGTCTCCTCCCATTTTTTATAATTTCGTTTGTTTCATTTTTTATGTTTTTGGCCAGGGATCAAATTCATGACTTTGCACTTACCAGGCAAGTGCGTAAGCCACTAAGCTAAATCTCCAGCTCCATTTTTTTTTTTTTTTTTTGTCTTTTTCGTTTTTATCGGTACCAGGGATCGAACTCACGACTGCCTGCTTGCAAGGCAGGCGCTTATGCCGCTGAGCTAAATCCCCAGCCCCCCATTTTTTATAATTTTGAAACAGGGTCTTGTTAAATTTCCCTGGCTATGCTTGAACTTAGAGTCATCTAACCCTAGCCTCCCAGGTATTTGAGTTACAGATGTGTACCACCATGCCCAGCAAACAATCTCCTTTTCTAATTTTTATTTTTTATTTTTTTTGGTACTGGGACTTGAATTCATGGCTTTGTACTTTCCAGGCAGATGCTGTGCTGCTAAACTATATTCCTGGTCCTCATTTTCTTGTTGATAACCTTGGTTTATGAAACATTTCAAAGCTGTGTTCCTTTCCATGCTCTTTGTTTGGCTTTATATTTATTTGCTTTGTTGCTTTGGTTTTGTGGTGTTTTTCTTTTCTTTTCTTTCTCGTTAAAACTGCCCAGGCTGGGCTCAAATTTGTCATTGCCCAGCTTCAGCCTCCGTAGCAGCTGGAATTAAAGGTTTGTGCCAACATATTGTGCTTAATGCTTACATTATATTTTTAGTTGATTACTGCTTTTATCTATTGATTCTGGAGGGCTAATACTGTATTTGGCAACTCAGCATTGACACTGATTCTACTATGTTCTCAGGAGCTTTGAGTCTTGTTCCTCCCATCTTTGCATGAACAGTGGCCAGGCTTATGTTAAACAGTGGCGTTATGGGTATGTCCTGATTTCATTTTTTTTTTTTTTTAAGCTTAGTGCATGGTGATCTTTTGTCTTTTTGAGACAGGTTCTCACTATGCAATTCAGGCTGGCCTTGAACTCACTCTGTAGCCCTGGCTGGTCTCAGATTTGTAATGATCTTCCTGCCTCAGCTTCTCAAGTGCTGTGATTACAGGTGTGTGCCACCATATCCAGTTCCTAATTTGATTGTTGATTGATTGTACTGGGGATTGTGCTGGTCTCTGTATAGTCCAGGCTATTCTTTTTTTTTTTTTTTTGGTCTTTTTCGTTTTTATCGGTACCAGGGATCGAACTCATGACTGCCTGCTTGCAAGGCAGGCGCTTATGCCACTGAGCTAAATCCCCAGCCCCTAGTCCAGGCTATTCTTGAACTCACTATATAGTCCAGGTTGGCCTTGAACTTGTGGCAATCCTCTTGCCTTGTCCTCCTGAATGATGGGAATATAGGCCTGTGCCACCATGTCTAATTCCCAGGACTTTTTTTTAAATTTTGATATACCATCTTGCTAAAATCAGTAAATTTCTTGGGCTGGGCTTGAAACTGAGATCCCCTTGCCTCAGCTTCCCAGGATGCTGTGATTACAGGCATGAACCAACACACTTAACACTTTTTCTCATTTATTTGTTATTGAGACAGTCTCACTGTGTAGTTCAGGCTGACCGTGAACTCATTATTGTAGCTGCCTAGAAATCATGGGGATCCTCCTGCCTCAGCCTCCTGAGTGCTGGAATTATAGGCATGTTTCACTGCACTTGGCTTGTTCCTCATTTTAATGGGGAGATGTTCACCTATGCCCAGAAGCTGGCTAGATTTTTTTGTTACGCTTATAATAGCTGTTGGATTTCTTTTTTCTTTCTTTCTTTTTTTTTTTTTTTTTTTTTTTTTTTTTTTTTGAGATAGGCTCTTGCCATCAGTTTAGGCTGCCCTCCAACTCATGACAGACAGTCCTTTTACCTCTTGCCTCAGGAGAGCTGGGATTACAGGTGTGGGCTATCACACCCAGCAAGTGTTGGATTTCAGAATTTTTTTCTGCACCAAGCATGATACTCACCTGATATTTTTTCTTTATCAGCATAATAAATTATATTGTATTTTTGTATTCCTGGAATAATTGCTAGTTAAATAATGATATTAACACATACATTTTAATAGGTTTTTGTACTACATTTTAAATCTACATTCATAGATGAAATGGATTAATAACTTCCTTTTGTATAGTATTTTTAGATAATTTTGACATTTTTGGAAAGTGGCTTTTGGCATGCAGGCTTCTTCATAAAATTTGCTGGGCAGGTTTCACTGTCGTTTATTCATTTATGGTGCTGGCTGTTAACCAGGGTCTCATATGTGATAGGTAAGTGCTCTACCACTGCACTGCATGTCCAGCCCTTACTTTTTAAATTTCTGGAAGTCTTTGTAGAGATGGAGTTAATAGAATCTTCAAGCCTGTGGTAGAACTTGCTGTAAAACCATCTAGACCTGGAAGAAGGAAGGCCTTTGAAGTATTTTTGTTCCCTTAATCTTTAATGGTTCACTCAGCTTTAAATTTTTATTTATGTTTTGGTTTTTTTTTTTTTCCTTTTCTTTTGAAATAGGGTCTTACTATGTAGCCCAGGCTGCCCTCAAACTCAAAGCCATCCTCCTGCATCAACCTCTTGAGTGCTAGGATTATAGGCATGGGTCACCATACTGGTCCAAGACTGTTGTTCATCTTATCAAAGAACTTGCTTTTGGTTTTGCTAATCTTTTCCTAAGTGGGGGTGGGAATGTTGTTTTGTGTTCTTTTTTGTTAATTCTTACCTTACTTTTATTATTTTCTTCCTTTTATTTGGATTTGTTGTGTTGTTTTCTTCCCAACTTCCTGAATTTAATGTTTACCATATGTGTGATTTATTATTCTTGTTGCTAGGAAATGTGTTTAGAAATAGAAATTTTATCTTTACGTCTTTTGGCTTCATCCTACAAATTTTGAGTTATGGCCAGAAATCTTCAGGTCTATACACCACTAAAAAGCTCTGGGGAACAGTCCTTCTTGCCTCTTATATCATTTATGTATTCATTCATTTATTTATTCATTTTTGTTGTTTTGAGACTGGGTCTCACTATGCAGTTCAGGCTGGTCTCAAACTTGCAATGATCTTTTTGCCTCAGTCTCTTGAGTGCTGGGATTACAGGGGTGCACCACCACACCCAGCTCTTGTATCATTTATTATTTATTGGTCCCAGGATTTGAGCTCAGGGCCTTCTGCTTGTCAGGCAGATGCTGTGCAATTGGGCTACATCCCTGGCCGTCTTGTATCATTCAGAATCAGTGATTCATTATTTAGTTTCCAAGTAGCCAACAGTTTATGAGCTGTCTTTCTGTGGTTAATTTCACAATGAGTGGCATTGGGCTGGGTGTATGTTCTTTAGGGCAGCCATACTGTGCTGGTGGCTGTACCTAAGGATGTTGCCCAGTTCCACTTGTGCTTGGAGAGAATGCAGTGCCCTGTTGAGTGTGAGTTCCTGCCTATATGTAAGGACTTGAGCCTTTTACTGTGGGCCTTTGGGACCTCTGTTTGCCTTTCTCCCATGGCAGGAAGCCTAAGCAAAGCTTCAGAACCAAGGACTTGGCTGCCCTTGGACAGGTGCTCCTCCCTACATTGACGGACACTGATGAGGGTTTGGGGATGCTGCACAGGCGTGGATGCTGGTAGCCCCCAGAAGTGAGGTACCAGGGATATGATCACAGGTCTCCACTACTCCATATTCTCCTGATGGATCATTTGCTCAAGGGCTGAGCCTGGGAGGCTGAGGGTAAGGACCTTGAGACTTTCTTTGAAATCTGCCTCATTAGCACATTTATTTTTTGTCATTTAAAAATCTTGTTTCTTCACCATCTATCTCTAGTGGCAGCCCAGCCCTCTGAGCTGAAGGAGCCCTGGATAGCCCTGGCTCTGCTGAGTGAAACACTGGCTAGGGCTGGGGCTTCCTTTTATCCTTCCTTTCTGCCCTGGGTAGAGCAGCCTGTTCTTTGCAGAGTCTTTGATGACCAAGTCCCCTCGAGATTGTGGGAGTTGGGGTGCCCTTCAATGTATTCAGCCTGGGGAACTGGACACACCAGGATGAAGGGGCTATGGAGTGTCCACATCTTCACCTTCCACAAGGGTCTGCCTGTCCTGGCAGTCCCTGCCCTCCACACCTGGAGACCAGAGCCAGCTGAGCCCTGGGTGAGCTTCCAGCATCTTCTTCTTTGCTGCACACACAGCAGGATTCCTGGTCTTCAAGCCTGAGCTGATCTCCCGGCTGGAGCAGGGACAGGAGCCATGGGTCTTGGACCTGCAGGGAGCGGAGGGGACCGAGGCATCACGGACATTCCAGACAGGTGAGGTGCAGGCCTTGTCACAGAGATGCTATAGGTGAAGAGGATCCAAAGTTGGGCCTTGAGGCAGTGAAATGCTGAGTGCTGGGGAGCTCATGGAAGAGGCACAAGCCCGAAAGGAACCCCATTCAGGTGTAGGAAGACCACAGAACAGCAAAGACACAAAACAGCTGTGCATTCACCAAGAACAGTTTGTGTTTGAAATCTCTGTTTCTCTGTCTCTGTCTCTGTCTGTCTGTCTGTCTGTCTCTCTTTCTTCCTTTGAGATAGGGTCTCACTGTGTAGTCCACACTGGTCCTGAACTTAATATGTTACCCAGGCTGACCTCAAACTCATAGCAATCCTCCTGCTTCAGCCTCATGAGTGCTGGGATTATAGGCATATGCGGCCATGCCCAGTTGTATTTGAAATCTTACCAAATTTTGTTCAGTTTCTAATTTTAGTAACTGTGTTTTAGGCAGAAGTGCAAGTGTTTGGATCTGGGTAAAGCAGTAAGCTTTGATTTTCAGGTACCATATTTGCTGAGTCAGATCCTTTTCCATCCGCTCTCTCCTGCACATTTTGGGGCTTGGGTGACCTAAACCCTGCAGCTCAGGGCCTGCATGTATTAGTCTCCTGTGGTTTCTGTAACAAGGCTCAAACCGAGTACCTTAGAACAACAGAAATTGTCTCAGAACTGTGGAGGCCAGAAGTCTCCAGGGCCATTTTCTCATGAAAGCTCTGAGGGCTCCTTCTTCTTGTAGTATGTCCTTTGTGCTCCTCCATTTATAACTGCATCCCTTCAGTTTCTGCTTCCATTTTCATTCAGCTGACTTCTGTGTGCCTCTGTCTTCATGTGCCCAAATCTTCATAAGGACACATCCCACTGAAATAAAGGCCACCTAACACTTTTACCATAACTAATTACATTTGCAGCAACCTTATTTCCACATAATTCCCTGCGTAGCCCTCCTAAAGAGATAGGTTCTTTCTAATCCTCCCTGGAAAGGAGGCAAAGACGTAGGGTAGCCATTAAAACCCAGCCTTCCAATAATGTGTCTCCGGAGTGGGAGGTTGTAGTGTGCAACATGACGTCAAAGACAGGTAAAGGAGGCAGAATTAGGTAGTTCTGTGGGTTTGTGCTTAACAAATGGCCCCTATGGTGAGGAAGTGACAACAGAGTAGCCCACAGTGAGTTCCAGGCAGGAGTGTGGTCTTTTAGATGACAGTGTAAGTAGTGTTACTCAGAATATATAAAGTGAAGTGGAAATCCCCAGGTGTGTGCATTGCCTCTGACTGGTGCAGCCAGCATTAGATCTCCAAGGGTACTCACTGGTCAGAGGGATGAGGGAGAGGGTACCATTTGCAACGCTGCCTTCCCTATACTTGCCCACCACCGTAGCCCCAAGGGTTGGTTCCCATTATCATGTTCCAGGGCAGTGACCTCAGTATATCTTTAGCCTGACCCTGCTGTGCCTGAAAGACACACATCTCCACTTCCAGAGATTGTTTTTATTTTTCATGAGAGCTTGCATCTTCCCAGGGGTTGTCCAGAGCTTGCTGAAGATCTTTTTTTCCAAGGCAGAAGAGAGATTCTTGCACTGCAATTTCAGGACTGTGGAGGTGCTGATCAGTGGGGTCAGGAGGAAATGGGCCAGGCATGAGACCAGGGACTATAGGAGAGGCTGGGGTTAGGGTTGTTAAGAGATAGGCCATGGCCCAGTGGTATTCAGGGTTAGGGCAGAACTTACAGCCCAAGCTACTTACAGACATAGTCACAGGAATCAGAAGGCAGGACTTAGGAAGACAGCCAGGTGGTTTGTGACATTCTTGTCCTTTGGTCATGGTTGCTATTGGCTGCTTAGCCACAGAGGTTTCATCCTCCTGAGCAGCAAGAGGCTGGGCAATTCCTGGCTGAATAATAGTAGGGCTGCATTCATTTCTTTTGAGGTTCTCACAAAGGAACTGTGAGTTCCCACAGGACACAGTCTTACTGTCCTTTCTCACCCCCATGGCAGAGGAAGGTTCCAGAGGATGGCCAGGCAAGGTGCATGTCTGCTACATGATGAGATGGAGAGAGTTGGGGCTCCAGGGTGTACTCGTTCCTCTTGTGAGCCAGTCTACTTAGCTGTGGGTGGGAATTTTCCCCCACAGTGGTTATAGAAGATTGACAACAGAAGATTGACTGGGAATTGTTCTTTGCATGGAAGAGGCTGCATGGGTGGCACCCCTTCCTCTCCATAGGACTGACAGGAGGGCCTGCTCATATCAGTGGAATTGGAGTCTCGGCTCTATGATGAGTGGGCATGAGTGGCAAGCCTGAAGCCCTGTAAGGGGGTGGGGATTTGCTGAGACTATATCCAGTCTGGTTGTGTTGTGTTTTGAGGTTATCAGGAAGAAGTCTGATTTCAGTAGAGGTGCTCTGGAGATTTCAGAATAGGAAGGTACTTCTGTTTTATTGGGAGGGTCCAGAAGGAAAGTGGGTGTCTGGGATACCAATAGGTATAAAGACTTCTCCTAGGAAAGAGAAAGCAGCATGGACTGCAGACTAGCCTTTTGGCCTGCAGCCTTTCAAGGAATGTCAGTGCCAGTGCAGCTGGAGGGAGCAGAGGCTGGAGGACTGCTTGGTGCAGCTCTCCAAGACGACCTGTCTTCTAGGCTCCTGTGTGCCCTCAGCAGCTCTTCAGCCTCTTGTTCCTGTTCATTCCTTCTGTTCAAAGGTCAGACCTGCTCTGTTCTCACTTGGAAACTGGGCTGCTAGGGGCGTGTGACCCCCTCCCCCACCTCCACCCCCAGTCCTTCTTGGCAGACTCTTCACCATCATGTTTTTGGCCTATCCTCACTTGGCATCCTTGTGGACATTCACTCCAAAACATTCTGTGGGGTAGACTCCTCTTAGGACATGCAACTCTCAGGATTCTGCCTGATATAGATGAGTACTTCATCCTTGTCAAGTGAATAAGTAGAGTGTAAATGAAGTCACATTGTGAGAACTCTCAAAGAATCTCCTTGTCATGTTTCCACTTAGGGTGTGTCACAAATAGACACATCCTGCCTGGCAAGTGTGGACTTGCGCCCTTTCACTGTAGTCTTTCTCCTTTCTCTAAGCTCAGTATGTAAGGAAAATTTTTATTTACTCGTTGTTTCAGAGTCCACCATTAAACCTGACTGTAAGCAGCCCTATGAGAACATCAGTCAACTCAAACTTCAGGGTCCTGGCTGTGGAGGGACTTGGAATTCTGAAGTCTGGTCAGAGAGGTGTTCAAGTAACTGTGGGCTAACAGTGAAGAAACATCATGTGAAGAAGGGGATTGGAGCTCCCAAGGCTGCCACCAAGGATACTGCTCAGGAATACAGAGAACTGAGAGCAAGTGATCTGGATCATTGGCCTGAGATACATCAGAGGAACAGTACAGAAGGGTTGCAGAGATGTGAGGTATGTGGTAGAGATCTCAGAACCTCTTTAGACCTGGGTTTGAACGCAGAGAAACCTCACAGATGTCAACAATGCCAAGAACAATTACCTGACTGCTTGCGGGGAAATCCTCCAGGTAAGTGTTGTGGAGAGAAGCCATACAAGTGTGAGGAGTGTGGAAAAGTCTTCAGACTATGCTCACAGCTCCACCAGCATAAGAGAATCCACACCGGAGAGAAACCATTCAAATGTGTTGAGTGTGGAAAAGCCTTCCGCTTGAGCTCAAAACTTATTCAGCATCAAAGAATTCACACTGGAGAGAAGCCCTATAGGTGTGAGGAATGTGGCAGAGCCTTTGGCCAAAGCTCAAGCCTCATCCATCATCAGAGAATCCACACAGGTGAAAGACCCTACAGCTGTCGTGAGTGTGGCAAGGCTTTTAGCCAGCAGTCACAACTGGTTAGACATCAGAGAACTCACACTGGGGAGAGACCCTACCTGTGCAAAGAGTGTGGCAAGGCCTTTAGCCAGAGCTCAACTCTAGCTCAGCACCAGAGGATGCACATGGCAGAGAAGCCTCAAATCCCAAGAGCCTCAGAAGGTCCAAGCCTTATTGCACATCAAAGAAGTCATGCTGTGGAGAAGCCATTTAAGTGTGATGAGTGTGGGAAAGCTTTTAGGTGGATCTCTCGCCTGAGTCAGCACCAACTGATTCACACTGGAGAGAAACCTTATAAATGCAACAAGTGTACAAAAGCCTTTGGTTGTAGTTCACGGCTTATTCGCCATCAGAGAACTCACACTGGAGAAAAACCATTTAAATGTGATGACTGTGGGAAGGGGTTTGTCCAGGGTTCACATCTTATTCAGCATCAACGAATCCACACTGGAGAAAAACCTTATGTGTGTAATGACTGTGGGAAAGCTTTTAGCCAGAGCTCCAGCCTCATTTACCATCAGAGAATCCATAGAGGTGAGAAACCCTTTGAATGCATGCAGTGTGGAAAAGCCTTCAGCATGAGCACACAACTTACTATCCACCAAAGGGTCCACACTGGAGAGAGACCATATAAGTGTAATGAATGTGGAAAAGCCTTCAGTCAAAACTCGACCCTTTTCCAACACCAAATAATTCATGCAGGAGTAAAGCCCTATGAATGTAATGAATGTGGAAAGGCATTCAGTCGGAGCTCATATCTTATTGAACACCAGAGAATACATACAAGAGCCCAGTGGTACTATGAATATGGGAACAGCCTACAGGGGCCCACCTTTGTAAGTCGTAAAAAAGTGAACACTATAAAGAAACTGCATCAGTGTGATGACTGTGAGAAAATCTTTAGGTGGCGCTCACATTTAATTATACATCAGAGAATTCATACAGGAGAGAAGCCTTACAAATGTAATGACTGTGGCAAAGCTTTTAATCGGAGCTCAAGGCTTACTCAGCATCAGAAAATTCACATGAACCACTTACCAGTGTAAGTGTGAATTAATCTGTATTGCTTTACAATACTTAATTTTCCATAAGACCATTTATATTGGTAAGAACTTAGAATGTTGGTTAAAAATTCAGAATTGCTTTCTTAAAGACAGTATCCAACTTCATACAAAATGTACACTTGCTGGAATGTTGATATTCATTCAATAAAGCCTGTGTCTGTTGCACTCAGGGACAGTTTATACTTGAGCATTTAGAGCTTAGTACACAGGGTAGACCTCAAGGTCTGCAGGTAAGGAACAAGCATAGTCCCTAACAGACAGCCTGTTCACAACATCATTCAAAGTTTCCCTTGGAATCAAATATTGAGAGTGATTTCAACAGTAAGTGAAAGTTCTCACTCATGTTCAGAAGCAAAGTGCCTAGAGTTCACTTCTAACTTCTCCATGTGCTGCCTTTTCTTAAAACTCAAAGCTGTCCATTAGAGCCATCCGTGGCCTTAGGAGGCAGCTGGGCTCCTAAGTACAGCCAGGTGTTGGTGTTCACAAAGCACACTTCAGAGCCAGCACAGAAATAACCCAGGTAGCGTACAGGTGTACTAAAGTTACACATGGGTTCTAGGTGTTTGGAGCCACCCTGGTTGATCTATCCAACACAGGCTGGGACCATTGGGTTTTGTCTCCTAAACCATCTGATGCTGCAATCCACAGCCTCCCAATGTAGGATGAGAACAAGCATAGCATTGACCTCTTCTTCCCCCAAGATCCTGGTCATCAAGCCATGAGCATGTTTCAAATGGACCTGTAGACTTCTTTTTAATCTATTAGTGTATTAATCACCCTTCCCATCAATGGAACAAAACACCTGATTTGTACAACTTGAGAGGTTAATTTTGGTTCATGGTTTTAGAATGTTCAGTCCATGCTAAAGCAGAAATGTCATGGCAGAAGGGCATGGTGGAAGGAAACTCATGGCAGCCAGCAAATGGAAGAGGGGTAGGCAGAGGTGCAGCTTTCAAAGTCATGTTCTTTGTGACCCATATCCACTTTAGTATCCACCTCCTAACAGCATGTTCAACTGTGAATTCATCAGAGGATCAATCTGCTGATGAGTATAGTACATCCATGATCTAGTCACCTTCTGAAAGCCCATCTCTGAACACATAAACTTGAGAGACATTTTAGATCTAGAGTGTGAGTGTACTTGGTGCTCTGTAAATCAGCACTTTGTTGCCATTTCCCCTAAAAGCAGCTTGCATTTCAGTGTTTTCCACAGGGTGTCCTGTTGACCCTGGGTATCCCTGACAGCTTCTTTTTGAGGTTCCTTGGTTGTGGTGTAAGTGGGACAGATGCAATTTAGGACTGGTTTCTTCAATTGTGAGAGACCGGTGTACCCAAGGCTTCTGTTGTCCCTGGCTGGCTATAAGTAATGGCTACTTCATGCAACTTGCTGTGTCTGTGTTTTGTCTCACAGAGCAGAAATAAGTTAGGTAGTGACAAGTGGTCGGTGAACCTGTTTCATAGAAATCTACCTCCCAAGCCTCAAGAGCCCGCTTTTTGAAATGCAGCCTCCAAGGAGACAGCTGCCCTCGTGGCAGTGAAAGACTTCTTTAGACTTGGGAGTCCTGCTGCAGGGGCCTTACTCATCTTAGTTTTGAGAGCTTTGAATTCTTTTGACTTTATTTCAGTAAACAGACCTCCTTTCATACTCCTTTAGGGATTCATATGGTGGCTTGGCGAAACCCAAAATTGGGTATCTGAATTTGACTGGAGCCTGCCATCCCTAAGAACCCCTTTAGTTAATCCTGTCTGGGGAGAAGGCAGTGAGGTGTCTGCTTGTTCTAATCCATTGCCAAAAATCAGGTTCCTGGTGTGAGAACGAAACCAAATACTGCCTTTTCTCTAAGGAAATCAGAGTCTTAGAAGGAGATGTATGGTAATCCTCCACAAGGAATTTCAGAACTTTTTTTATGATTGTTTTTTTTTTTTTTTTTTTTGAGACAGGGTCTCGCTATGCAGTTCAGGCTGGCCTTGAGCTCACTTTGCAGCCCAGGCTGGTCTTGAACTTGCAACAATCCTCCTGCCTCAGCCTCCCGAGTGTTGAGGTTATAGGCGTGAACCACCATACCCGGTGAAACTTCAGAACTTTAATGGTGTTATCTGAATCCTGCTAAGTGTCACTGGCAACTAGCAAATTTTACATGCATTGCATCAAAGTTTCATATTCTGGTGTTGATTCTCAATTCACTGGCCAATGTTCTACAAGTACTAAACATGAGGACTGTCTGTGAACTGCTGAGGAAGCACTGAGGAGGGCACGTGGTGGCAGTGAACCTGTGGATACATGCCACAGCAGGTACCCAAAACTCTTCAGAAGAGTCCAGTTACTTCAACAGCTGAGCACTGGATAACATTTCTTTTTTCTAACCTAAAACCTCAATATTCAAGTTTAATTGCAGTGTTGGCACTTCGTAATAAGTGGGTTTGGGGTTGCAGTTTGGGCACTCAGCCTCTAAAAGTTATGGTGTGCTATCACTGGTGGAGTATTGGATACACATTTGTCATTCAAGAGCTCACCTTTCAAAGTCAAATACTAGTAAGTACTGTGACTAGACAGAAGAAAACGGAGAAAAAAGCATCCTTCTGGGTATGGTGTCATACACCTCTAATTCTAGCACTTTGGAGGCTGAGGCAGGAGGATTGCTACAAGTTTGAGGCTAGCCTGGGATACATAATGAGTTCAAGGATAGCTTAAACCAGGTAATGAGACCCTGTCTCAATGACAAAATGGAAAAAAGAAGGAAGGAGGGAAGAAAAGCAAAGAGAAAGAAAGAAAGGAACACATCCCCAGGTCCAGGAAGAGTAACTTATTTGGTGTCCCCAGGGACTCAGGTGAGTTGGGTGTAAGGATTAGGTACCATAGGGTATTTTGGAATTACTGCTTCATGGACTGCACAGATCCTAAATGAATCAACACTCGCCACTAGGTTTCATTATTAAGAAGCTTTTAAGTAGAGGTTGGGTACTTCTCAGAGCCTCAGTTTTAAGGGATACTGTTTTCTCCAGGAATATCCTAACCCAGTCTTGAATTATTTCCTCATGGACTGTACATTTACAGCTCAGCCTAAAGTGTTAGTATCTCAGACTGAGATTTGTTTTTGTCACCTTATATCCTTAGGCTTGCTGAAGTGCCATCAGGGCTCCTACAAGGACACCTAACAGATGGATCCCTTGCTCTGGTGATACAGAAATCTGAATCTGTTCTTCTTTTAGACAGAGGCATCTAATATACTAAGAAGATCCCTAACAGACTTGGGACATTTGGGATGTATAAGGAATGAATATTGGCAGTAGATTCAATCTCACAGCTAAGGAGGGAAGCAAAATTTCTTACCTTAGGTTGTCTGGGCCTGTTGGCATTGGAGAAAGGACAACACATTGGGCCGGGGCAAAAGAGGCATTTTCCCACATTTAATAGGAGCTCTGTTTGACTGCCTGCTATATCAGTGATTACCTAAGACTCCAATATGATAGTGATGCCACCTGATCATAAGAGAACCTAGAGGATCCTCAGTCCTCGTACTGTAGTGTCAGGAAAGTCTGTGTGGCTCTGAGCTTGGTGTGAATTGTTGTTAGCTTGGCCTATTTTGGTGCTTTTGGGGCAATCCCTCTTCTCCCCAACAATAAATGTAGCAGGAAGAATTGCAACAACAGTAGACAGGAGCTCAGGAGAAGAAAGGAAATTTTATTGATGTTAGTGGACCCCAGTCTCTGTGGCCATATGTAGGCAGTGACTGATTGGACTCCCTGAAGTTGGGGACAGAGAGGCAGGTTGGCATGGACTTGTGGCTATCAGGTGCTTCCTATGCAATGAAAGCTGTTATCATCTGTAGGTTTTCTGGGGCCTTAGGATCAAAGGAGTATAGACCCTATAGTATTTGTGTGTGTGTGCCAAGGATTGAATTCATGACCTCACACTTGCCAGGCAGGTACTTATGCCACTGACCTAAATCCATGGCCTAACCCTGTAGGATTTACAGGGTCTTTCATAAAAGTCTGAAGGGGTTTTATTAGGCTTCTGGGTAACAGTAGTAACCTTTGACCAGTCGATGGGTTTTTTGCCCTCTCTTTGATGTCTTTGAGAAGCACTTGACTGGATTTTTTTGTTTCTTTTTGCTGGATTTTGTGCTCTCTGGCAGAACAACCTTTGGGAAAAGCCATGGCAATGCATTCATCAGGGCTGACAGTTCATGGAAGAATCTCCCCCTTTAGTCAGTTTTTCCTCAGTCAAAATGTGGCAGTGTTTTTTGTTGAAAGAATTTGAAGGGATTGCTGACAGACATCCTAAGTGGGCATTACATGACCCCACCTGACCAGGATAGGTGTATAAGGGTGGCTGTGAAGCAGAAGGCTCTGAAGGCAGTCTCTGTGGCCATATGTAGGCAGTGACTGATTGGACTCCATGAAGCTGGGAACAGAGAGGCAGGTTGGCATGGACTAGTGGCTGGAAACAGTTCAGGTGGCTAGAAGTAGCCAAATCAGGAGCTGGGGGGAGGAGGGATGGCCTGGTGAAACTGTAGGTGTTGGTGGCAACTGTGATAGCTGATGAGAGTGATTTACCAGACAAGGCAGAATTCTCAGGAAGAATGAATCTTTATTCAGAAGCAGGAAGTCTTGTTCAGATAAGGAGCCTTTCATTTTATCACCATACTCACTAGGAAAGCCCTTCCTAAAATTTTTGAACCTGAAGTCAGAGACCGTGGGTTTGGACTCACTAAATCTGATTTCTGACTCCCTAAGTACCCTTGAATGGAGCTATAGCAGACAAAGAGTGGGTGCCCTTCAGAGAGAGAGACCATTCAGATGCCTGCCTTGCCATGTCCCTCACAGGGTATTTTAGCATGATTTAGCTAAGGAGGGTGCAAGGCCTCCATTATACCATATGTCAGTCACCAAGGAACTGTAGATGAGGGCATACTCAGACACTGTGATCAGTGTTTCCTAGTCTTGGTGCAAAGATGGAGCAGTCTATGGCTTACACTCTTTGTTCTACTCACACATTTATCAAGTCTTCAGAGGCTGCAGTGTTCCCTCCCCATGACTACGAGGAGGCCTAACTAATGAGAGGTTATCAGGCTCTTGTGCTCTAACAGCAGATACAGATTGAAACTGGGTACCTCGAGAAGTCCTACTGAAAATAGACAGGCAGGCAGACCGTTTCCTTCTCC